GTTCGTTGAAAATATCTGTACTCACGCAGTTCGGCGAAGGCAGCCCCGGTGATCCAAGCGGAGATGAGGGCGAGCCCGATTAGAGACGTCATCCTGGCTGGTGTCGGGAGGACGCAACGTGGTCAACGTTGTAGCGTTGGAGGAATCGAAATTAGCAACAGCGATATCGAAAATGCGTGCGATGGCCCGCGCGCCACGGTATATATGAACTAACGCCACTTTCTCCGAGTGAGCAGAGCCGCCCCACTCGCAGCGATGGTAAAATTTATCACGGTAGAATGCCTCCTTTTAACTCAGTCAGGGCCGTACCGCGTGTACCCGTTTTGTTATTCGATAGAATTCGCGATAACCTGCACGCGGAATCGTGCGAAGGTAGGTCAGGATTGATGGGTCTAATGGCGGGTGCAGAAAATTTTCGAGAAACGTTAATCGGGATTTTTCAATTTTTTATGGAACTTTGAGAGATGTTCGATGGATGGTCTTGAGTTTTCGAAGGGAGTTTGAAGGAAGGACTTGTATTTTGGGTATTCGAAGATTCTTTGGTGTTGGCTTCTTTTCTTTCGATTGTTGTTTTCAATGGATTTTTAAAGATTTAAGGTTTCAAGTTTGGATACTCTGAGAGGATAGGATTATTTAGAGATTCGAGATGCATATTTGGGTATATTTGGGTTTTTTATTCAAAGGTATTAAAGTATTTTGATTATTTCGGTTGCTTAATTCTTTTTAAAGATATCTTGATATTTTTAAGATACTTTGGATATTTATTTTCTCTTTAAAAGTAGCAGAATATTTCTCTGGTTTTGTTTCTTTATTCATTCAATTTTTATATTTATAAAAATCAATTAAGTATATTGATCGAATTATGTAATTTATACGGATTACACAATTGTCACAATATATCTTGTGGCCTCCATTGGAAAGTGGGAACTATTACTTATTTGAAAGACTTGTCATATTTAAAATATAAATTTCTAAATAAATCGATTTTGTATTTATATAATAGCATTTTGTATAATAAGATTACTCAAACTTACATAAATCTTATTCACGAACAAATAAAAACATGATTTAAAACACAACATGATTTAAACATAAATAAAACATAAAAAGATTAAATTTCTATAAACTCGAAAAATATTATTATTAAATTCTCGGAGGAATTTTTATTACAATTTATTATTAACATTCTTACATTATGTTCTCCATATTAATGTTTAAAAAATTAAATTTCTCTTTCTAGAGAGAACTTAAAAAAGAAAAGAAAAAAAATTAATTTTCTCCAATTTATAATAAAATACATTTAACCGTAATCAGAGAATAATTACAGGGGAAAAAAAGAAAAGAAAAGAAAAGAAAAGAAAAGAAAAATTCGATTCGAAAATAGAAATTTACAATAATCCATCAAACAAAACGAAGATTTCATTTCTCTCCGCCTACCTACATATTCAATCCAAGCTAAAATATTTTTCTCATCGGGTAATTTCTTCAATTATAGCCTTCTTTAACGACATCCTCGTAATTTCTCTCGCCACTGTCCGAGGATCGCGATAATGATTCATCTCACGATGAATCGTCATTAATCTAACAGGCCACTCGTCCTTGTCGCAAATTCCACATAATATTTCCTGCAATAAACCGAGATTTCGAAAGAACACGGATAAAAAAATTATGGTTCGTGCAAACAATCGTTAGTCTTATCTTTAAATGTAAGAATAAGAAATCTCGATTGACAAAGATTGCTACGATTTTGTAATCGAGTGCGTTCAGCTTTTTTTTTTTTTTGGGTCGCTAAATATCGAGTGAATCATTCTAAAACAAAGTTTTTGCAGTTTTAGGCGGAAAAATGTTAATTGATTTTTTCTGTTTCGACGTTTATCAAATGTCGTAAGTGAATCGTGTTTCTGATTAGCGATAAGAAATGTTTGAGAAATGTTCTCTTTGCAAATCTGGAAATTTTGATGGAAATTTAGCACTGATAGACGAATGGTTCAAAGTAAAATTAATATTAGAAATTTTAATCTTTTATAAGAATGTAAGAGCGTGTAATTAAAATTGATTAGAATTAAATGATTGAAACCATATTACCACGTGGATCAATAAAGATACATTAAATTTATTTTCCAGATCAATCTCTTTATTTCAACATTTTAAATTTTCGACATTTTATAATATTTTTATACATTCGTATACATACATATATTAGTTTGTTCATTTTTCTTGCATAAAATTATTTTTAAATCAAATTGTGTTAAAAATATTCCTAAACTCTCCTTCTTATTTTGTTAAATGTATTAATATTACATACATAATGTAGATTAAATATATAATTATATTAGTTCTATTAATCCTTTCACTTTCAACTTCATTTGTAATCTAGAACAAACTAAAAACAAATTAATTTCGGTCGATGTCAGTTCATTATACTCCCATAATTTACCATCTATTATATTTTACTTGCAAATTTAATTTGATATTTTAATGCTTTACAATTATAATATTTCAACATTCTCATTATGTTAATATCTCATATTCTTAACCATTAATTCCAACAATTCGACATTGATCATCATTTCATTCTCACAACCGAGAAATCAAATTTAAATTTTCACGTGAAAAATAAATGAAAAAAAAAATTTTTTTCTCTCACGTGAAATTTTTCCGCAGCCACTTTCCCCGGGTCAGCCAATGTTGCTGCAACTCGATGAATTTTCCAAACAAGATTATGTAAAATTGAATCCCAACTGGTTTCCTAGTAGTGCTGAGAATGGTATAAATACACGTAACATTTGGAAACTCGTTTGCGAATTGGCTGACACAATCTGGGAAACGTGATCAGTTATATCAGATATACGAACGAGTTTCCGGTGTGAGCAAAGGTCACGAAACGACAATAATTCATAGTTTTATGTTGGTTTGTATTTTTGAGCGAAAAATTGTGATTCTTGGAACTTTTCTTCGTTAATCCTTTTATTTTTGGAATTTTTGTGCAATCTTTACAATTAAATTTTTCTATAATTTTTAGACATACTTAGAATTTTATTCTTTTCTCTTCTCGCAGAAAAATAATTTTTAAATTTATTATTTCCTTTAAATAAATTGATTTTGTGATTAAATAGATGTATTTTTGTAATAATTTGAATATTTTAGAAATATCAAGTATGATATTGATTTTTTGTTGTGCATTTGGTAATTTGCATTAAATGAATTCTTTAGAATTCTAAAAATTAAACTATTTTAACTTATAGTTACTTATCTACTATTTAATAATTAATATATATTTAAAATAATTTTTAAGCGTATAGAATGTAAAACATGTGTGTAATAAATATACGTATGAAATTCTATATATGTAACGTGATATACTACATAAGTTAAAACTAAATATAATATCTTACTTAGTAAACAAGTTAATCAGTTAATAACTCTTCGAGTCATAGCCAGTAAATAGAAATATAATAAATAGAAATAAATAAATAAGTAATTATATAGAATCATGCAATTATTGATTAATAAAAAAGATAATTTAAAAGATCGTTCGAAGAAATATGCCATTTATTACATAAACAAAAGAAATATTATCTGATGTAACTCTATTTCTTAAGATGATACCTTACCTTATTCGTTCTATCTTCGACACACAAGAAACGTAATCCT